ATCAATGTTCCTGGCTGGGGCAAGCCACTGTCACCAGACGCACAGGCACTGGTGAGGCAGCTGAAGGAGGTCAAAGGACCTTGTCTGCCAGTGCCATGTCCTTAGACCAACACCCCTAGCACCTGACTGGAAGGATGCAGGGCCTTGGGCACATCTAAGGCCCAGGGCTGGGGCTGGCAGAGAGAGTTCCTTGGCAGCTGCTGGAGAAGAAACTCCTGCAGGAAAGGAAAGAAAGGCTCTAGTCTGTCACAGTTTGGCTGCCTGAGATGCTGTCGGTGCTACTGTGCTGCTGCTCACTAAGTTATTATTTTACTTCTTGTTATTTAAAGTGGTGGACCAGACTGAGGCTGCAGAGGAAGAGGAGACCTCATTGGGGCACACCACTGTGTTATGTAGAGGCCCTAGCGCCAGTGAGGGTGCACCTTAATACACACACAAAGTCACGCGTCATGAGTTTTTCTTGTCAGCAGCTTGAGGTGCAGTTTCCCAGAAACCCCTGCACCTATCTCCTTGAAACTTGGCAGGCTTCATGGCCTCAGCAGGGGCTACTGTCCCTGCTGTTTTCATCCAAATCTACCCAAGTTATAGGTAGTTTCATGCTTTCCCATTATAGCCTATGGGCAAAACCTTGAAACAGCTTTGAAACAGCGAAACAGTTTCGATGAAATGAAATGGAACAGTGCTTTCGAAATTAAATGAAACTTGAAACGAAACCCTGTCCTGTTGAAATGAAGAAATGGAAGTCGAAACGAAACAGTGCTGTTTTGCATAGCCCTACTGGCTAAAAAGGCTGCCTTGTTCTTACTGAGGCCTTGTGTTGTCTGATTGTGTTCAGTTACACAGATGGATGGCTTTCTGTATTCTGCTGACCAAGCCAGCCACAGCATCTGCAAATGCTCACATTATGGTGCATCACTCAAGGACAGGCTTCAGGCCTGCTGTTGCCATTTAGCCATAGGCCCTTTGAAAATGGCCACGTATGGCAGCAACATACCCATGGCTCATGTTGCAGAGATCGATGTATGGCCTACACTGTCATGTGGTAGGAGAGGAACACCAGAAGACAAAAAAAATCAGGTAGCATATGTCCTCTGTGTTCATTAGGAAATGTGACATCAGAGGCTGGAGGTCTGCAGTTTGAGGCCAGAGAGAAGTAAGAGGTAGCCCTTGAACTGTGACAGATGCACCTTTATGCAGGTGTGTACTAATGGAAGCAGCAGCATACTATACTTCACATGAACTGTTCATGACTGATTATGTCTTTTTCTGCATGTGACAAGAGCCTAATATAGATTCTAGTCCAGGGCTCCACACTTCAAAAAGGAAGTGGGCAGTTTTGAAAGAGTTTAGGGCAGAGCAGCAAAAATAATTAGGGACCTCGGAGACTTATGAGGAAAATCTGAAAGAGCTACAGTTAGTTACTATGAAGAAGAGAAGACAAGGGGAGATTTGTTAACAGTCGCCAAATATCTGAAGGGCGATAACAGAGAAGATGGAGATAGACTATTCTCTGTGGCAGAAGGGGATAGTGTAGGCCAGAAAGCTGCCTTGACATAACTGATGCCATTTTTTTTTCCTTTCCAGTGAACACCACAAGCTATAAGTGAAATGAACACAGAGGCAACTAGCACAGAGGCACTGTAGGAAACTATGTTAGGCAAAAAAAAAATGTAGACAGCTGTAGAGTGTAGAAAAAACAAGACAGAGTAAAGAAGCAAAACAAGCCCAAAATGGTGTGACTATCCTCGAAAAGTAGCAATAATAACAGTTTATTAAATCAGGGAGTGCTTATAGAAACTCAAAATGTAGCTGTGCAAACAAGGGGTGTTTTTCTTAGAAGTTATCTTAAACAAAAGGGGAAGAAGCCCAACAAAAAATAGGTCTTATCCATAAATGGCCCGCTCCCACAGACATTATGGTTTTGAAGTCCTTTTTAGGACTGACCGGATTCTGAAAAGGTTATATCAAGGAATATGCGGAGAAGGCCGTTCCATTGTACAGGTTGTTAAAAAAGTGAGTGCCCTGGGGGAAAGTGGTTTAAAAGAGGAGAGTCATTTGGAAAAGTAAAACAAGGAATCCAGGTGTATATTGTTTATTGATGGATCCAGCTATTACAAAAAGGGAAAGCCTGTTACAGGTTATGCAGCAGTCAATGTGAGAAATAAAGTTCAAAGTGGGAAGTGTGTTCATGGCTGCCCACAGAATCGTACCTCACAAGGTGATGACAGGCCAAGAAATGTGAATGCCCTAGTGGTTGGTAGCTGGGGACATACCTACAGGTATGCAACCCCACAACTGAGTTAATTTGGGAAAATCATACCCTAGACCCCACATGTGCATGTTTGGACGTAAGACACTGCATATGTGATTTTTGTGTTGACAACACCACAGCAGCATGACAAGTCTATTGTGGTGTATGTTGGGCAAAGATGTCTGTGCCCTTTGTTGTTATTAATAATAAAGCATATAATCAAACCATAGATAGTAGTGGTTATATGTGTAGTTATAATGTTACTAGCATATGTAGATATGACTTTGTGTTCAAAACCCCAGTACTCACTGCACAATTCTTAATTCATAATCTCACACTATATACTGATATTGTGCCAGTCAAATTAGGAATGAATATAAAACAACTAATGAAACACTCTGAGTTATCTCAATTAACAAAACAGAGAGCAACAAGGCGAACAAATTCTAATATCAATTTGATATAACAACTGTGAGATTACCGAGGTGTTAAAAACATTAAAGAAGCAGCAACACACCATTGGTGGAAATTGTTACTTGGATGGTTCCCATCTGCCACAAGAGTATTCAATGTGATTTTACAGTCTATTGTTTTTATTCTAATTGTTTGAGCTTTTATTGTTATTAGCAGCATGATAGCAAAATTTGTAGCTGTAAGGTACATATATGCAAAAATAGCCATGGTGGCTCGGCATCAAGAACTTGCAGATATCTTGTAAGGTCCCCAATCATCAGGTAAGACCAGGGTAAGCACTGAAAGCTGCCACACATCATCCCTGAGCTACAAGCGAACACCATGAGCTACAAGCAACATGAACACAGAAGCAGCTAACACAGGGGCAACGTAAGCAAAACAAAATGTAGATGTCATGACCCAATGATTGTGTGCGCGCTTCGGCACTGCAGAATTATTTCCCGCCACATGGAGCTTTCTTTGCACGGTGCAATTCTCAGCTGCAGAGAGAAAACCCCGGTGCAAAGGAGTTCCTGCCACCCGTATGTAAATTCGTACCCCACTATTGGCTGTTTCTAAATTATTCCCACGTGACAGCTAGTGATTGGCTTGCTAGTCGTATAAGAGGTTTGGGCGGTTTCCGCCCAAATTGTAGAGGACTCCACAACCATCTCGTGGGGACTCTGAGCACGCGGCAGAGTAATAGAAACTTTGTGTGCGTCTCAGAGGAGTTTGGCGGCCTGATCAACCACCAACCTCTTCCCGTCTCGTTCGTTAACTTCTTCTTAAGACGTATCTACGGTTTCTGCGTGCTCGTCAAGGGTATCTAGAGCTCTGTCGTGTTTGTTTTGCAGAGCCTAGCAAACTCCGTGTGTGTGTCTTCGGTGGAGCCTAGCAAACTCCGCTTGTGTTTGTCTGTAACTGCAACTCAAGAAAGTTTTTCCTGCCTGCACCGCGACCACCTACGGTGTAAGTAAAACAATCTTTAATTAACCGCTACGAGTCCGTGCCTAATTCTAGTCCGTTGTGCAAAAGTACCCGCCCTACCGTTGCGGGCTCCCGGCCACAGCCCGCCGCGTGCCCCCGAAAGCCTCGGACCGCTCCCGGCCCTAACAGTAGATAGCTACAGAATGCAGAAAAACAAGATAGAATAGAGAAACAAAACAAGTGCCAAGATGGCTTAGTAGGTGAGAAGTTCAAAAGAAACAGGCTGAGGGTGATAGTAATAAGAAAAGAACCTCTGTGAAAGGTAAGTGGTGAGAATCTATAGCATGACCATATAAATACACAAAAGAGGGCTGCAAAAGGGTATGAAAACCTAAGAAAATAAGTTTTGGGAGCTGTCAACAAGCAAAAGGGAGACCATGCCAGTCAAAACTGCAGCCCCTGGTGCCAAAACAGTGCCTGGCCCCTGAGTTGTTGTGCATCCTTCAGAAGGCCCACGTAAAAATACCTTTACAAACTGGGGCTTTGCTTGAGTCATGGTATTGCTTAAGTGTGCAACAAATTAAGATTTGAGAGCAAAATAGTTTGAGAGATCATTTCATTCCATTCACACCACCCCCTGCATCAAAACAGAAGTGGAACAACAGGACTAGGAGGAAGGGCCGCAAGCTGCAGCAAGGGAAATTCAGGTTGGAGATGAAGAGAAACTTTGGCTCTGAGAGTGGACAAGCAGAGGAGCAGGTTTCCTAGAGAAACTGGGATTTCCGTCCTTGGAAGTTTTCAAAAGCAGGTTGCAGGGGTGGTTGGGGCAGGCGGTGCACTGGTGCACTTGCAGCCCCCCTTTCCCCTCTTTTTTGATACTTGCTCTACCCAAAGTTTAAAACAAGCTGTATTGGCTGTGAGGGCAACATTTCTATTCGGGCAGTGCTGAGGGAGTCACTGGACTCATGGCTTGTTACTACCTATATCTGATCCCTTTTAAGCTCTTCATTCCCCGGGTGGTAAGGCAAGCCCCTCTCTTCTTGTTCAGGATTTCCTGGTCCACCAGCCTTTGCTCCCGCCCCACAGGGAAGCTCCTAGGCAGGTTTTTAACTCGTTTCGCTTCAGTCTTGAGCTGAATCCTGCACCCCCCCAACTTAGTGGTCGAGCTTCTCGTTTCTTTTTCACTGGAGAAAAATGGGAGCTGCGGACACTTCGCGGCTGCGACTCACGGGCGCGGGGCTCGGTCCGGCCCAAATAGCCCAACCCCGGCCTCAAAGCAGGACCGTGCCCGGCTCTCCGCCCCGCCAAGGCTTTGTGCCCCGGGGTCGCGAGCGCCTCCCCGAC